AAAACAAATTAAGGATTTCTTCCTGTGCCTCATCCAGTTAATACTTGACATCAAGAACAGGGCCATCTGTCTGCTCTTGACTTAGCGAGCTTGTCATGCATATGGGGGTCATATAGTCCCTGACCACCTTGTCTGGACACCCAGAAGCCAACCTACCCAAGACAAATGAGGTGGCACAGCATCCCTTAGTCTTTGCTTGTTCTAACAGGCACACGCTTCCCAGGTCAGGAGGCTGCTTTTCAGATGCGGAGTGAGGGGCTCACCCGGCTCACCCTGTGCCTTTGCTGTGGACCACCAGGCAGACAGACTCGCTTTGGTTCCAAGCCCTGACTGGGGTCATCAGTCTACCTTGTTTCCACATCCTACCCACCTCTCGCTTCCCCCACTGACCCATATCCAACCACAAAATGGTTCTTCATTTCCTTGGAGCACGGAATCATCAGGGATGGTGGCACACCACCAGCTTCCTGGCTCTGGTAAGAGCTTCGTGGTGGGACAGGCAGCAGGCTGACCTGATGGCCGACGTCAGCTCAGATCCCCAAGAGGGACCTCTGCTTCCAAGTTACTGTGTTTTCTTTTGTTTATTTTAGTTACGGACAAGACCACAGCCCAGGGCCGAAGCCCTGTGGAAGTTGCCCAGGACGTTCTCGCTGCTGTGGGGAAGAAGAAGAAAGATGTGATCCTGGCTGATGTGCTGCCTTCCTTGGCCATTTATCTTCGAACTCTGGCTCCTGGGCTCTTCTTCAGCCTCATGGCCTCCAGGGCCAGAAAAGAGCGGAAATCCAAGAACATCTAGTGCTCCGACCAGCCAGAGCCAGGGCAGAGAAGCCACATTCCTAGGCTCAGTTCCTCTACAAGGGACAGTTGCATTTGTTAAGACTTTAATGGAGATTTGTCTCACAAGTGGAAAGGATTGAAGAAACACGTCTTGTGCAGATCTGCTGGCAGAGGAGGAGAACCAAAAAAGGCAACAAGCTTCTTCCCAGGGTGAGGGGAAACACTTAAGGAGTAAATACGGAGCTGTGGTTTAACATTAAAAATAATAAATATCTCAAACAGTAAGAGTTGTAGTCTTCACGGACTAGAACCTTGTGTCCTGTGAATTCCAGCCCTGCCAACTCCTAGAAATTGTTTCAACCTTAGAATCAGAAGATGTGATGTCACCTGACTCAGCTGTTTTCATATTTGACTTAAACCTCATTGTTTTGGCAGAAAGACCACCTTCAGCACTCAAGGGAAAACTCAGTAGTTTTAAGAAGTCAGTAGTCATGCCCACTTCCAGGGCCCTGTGATATCCAACACAAAAAGTGGACCAGTATGTGATGGCTTATTTGGCGTATCCCAGGGGATGCTGGCTTTAGCACCTCATAGGAATTTCCATTTCTAGGCCGGGCGCGGTGGCTCACGCCTGTAATCCCAGCACTTTGGGAGGCCGAGGCGGGCAGATCATGAGGTCAAGAGATCAAGACCATCCTGGCCAACATGGCGAAATCCCATCTCTACCAAAAAATACAAAAATTAGCTGGGCGTGGTGGTGTGTACCTGTAATCTCAGCTGCTTGAGAGGCTGAGGCAGGAGGATTGCTTGAACCCAGGAGGAGAGATTGCAGTGAGCCGCGATTCTGCCACGGCACTCCAGCCTGGTGCCTGGCAACAGAGCAAGACTCTCTCTCAAAGAAAAGGAATTTCCATTTCTCTCTTAACTCTCACCACATCCCTGTAGGATGCCAAGCACCACTCGAAACTTAAAGAGAGAGCTGCCAAAAGGGAGAGGAGAACCCTGCATGGCCCCACGTCCTCCAAAAGTGAAACCATCAAACTGGCCAGCTGGGCAGATCCTGCAGTAGCCCCTGGTCTGGTGGAAGTGAGCCATTTGTTAGCTGTAACTAGCTGGATCGTAGCCAGAAAGAATGCCTGTTTCTGCCTTTCTGATTTATTAAAAATACAGGGTTGAGGCTCACTGAGTGGGTCAAGTTCATTTCTAATGTTTAGGAAGAAACTTTTCCTGTTACTGAAGCTGAAAATTGAAATGTATTGTAATACAAATCTCTAGCACATCATATTGACATTTCGCAACTCTGGCCTTGTTGAGATTGTATTTTAAACAGCTGCCCTAAACAGATGATAAAAATGGCCACAGCCAGCCTTTGGTTAGGGTGCCAGACAGTTTCGGGTTTCCTGGGAGTAGGATGACAAACTGGTGACTAGATCTGATGACCTGCCCCAGCTCATAACATTTCCTGGACGTTCCCAGAGCCTTTGGTAAAATGTGGACATAGTGATGGGTGGTTCTTCAGTTTCCAGGTAAATTGTCAACCTCCCTTCTGACATGGAAGAGAAGGGTCTCCTTGGTGTTCACAGTGGAGACAGTAAACCCAGGCAAGAGCTGGTACTGAGACAGAAGCAGCACCTTTCTAAAGCTCAGCCCGAGTCTGAGGTTGAATGAAAGTGCCAGGCGCACAGCAGGTTTCCAGGAAATGGCAGCCATGAAGGGCACTCTCCCTCTGATGGAAACGAGAGGACATCTCTCCTTGGATGCTGTTGGCTGCCACACTCAGAGGCACCTGGTGTCCAGGTGCTGTGCTTTCCTCTCCATTATATAACGTGGTCAGCAACTGGAGGTTGATGTGATAGACTGCCCTCAAAGGAATGCAAGTTTAGCAACCGTGTACTCCGTCATCAGAAGACGGGAACGTCAAATATGTTCTTGAGGTGATTGGTTTTGGGGCCATTGTGACCTGACTCAGCTGGCAAGCATGGAGCTTGGGCTGGCACAAAAGATTCCTTAACCTACACACCACCTGTGAGTTGTAATTGGTTAGATTGCAGCCAGAACGAACACCTGCTTCCACCTTTCTTTTTTGAGATGGAGTTTCCGCTTGTCGCCCAGGCTGGAGTGCAGTGGCGCGATCTCTGCTCACTGCAACCACCATCTCCTGTGATTAACCTTCAAGTGATTTTCCTGCCTCAGCCTCCCGTGTATCTAGGATTACAGGTGTGCGCCACCACGCCCGGCTACCACCTTTCTAATTTATTAAAAATACACGTTGAGGCTTACTGAGTAGGTCAAGTTCATTTTTTTTTTTTTTTTTTTTTTTTTTTTTTTTTTTGGAGACGGAGTTTCGCTCTTGTTACCCAGGCTGGAGTGCAATGGCGCGATCTCGGCTCACCGCAACCTCCGCCTCCTGGGTTCAGGCAATTCTCCTGCCTCAACCTCCTGAGTAGCTGGGACTACAGGCACGCGCCACCATGCCCAGCTAATTTTTTGTAATTTTAGTAGAGACGGGGTTTCACCATGTTGACCAGGATGGTCTCGATCTCTTGACCTCGTGATCCACCCACCTCGGCCTCCCAAAGTGCTGGGATTACAAGCGTGAGCCACCGCGCCCGGCCCGGTCAAGTTCATTTCTAAAGTTTGTTTCCTCAAATTAAATAAAGTGATTAGCAGCTGGAGACTGACGTGCTCGATCTCAGTACTACTGGTTGTTAACATTCTAAAATCTTCAGCTCACTTTATAAAACTTAACTTGAAAAACTTTATATTCTACCATATAAACTATAACAAACTGAACAATTATTAAAACCTAGCTAAATAAAGCTGTTTGCCATAGGCGGAGTCTGAGGCGCGCTGTTCTTGAGGAGGTTGGCAAGTCCCAGAGGGGACCTACACCAGCACCAGACAGACGCTCTTCTTGCCCTCAGAGGCTGAGGACTAAAAGGGCCGGCAGCTGTGCTCTTTCATGTCCATGCTGCTCCTACGGTCGCCTCGGGTCCCTGGAGTTCTGTGTCCCTTCCTGGAGACAGCAACGGTTTGGATAATGTGGGACTTACTGAGCCTTTAGAATTGTCCCAACTTAGCAGCTGAAGCGGCTTCCTGTGGGTGAGTCCCATGTGCTTTGCTCCAAAGCAAGAAGCCCAGCCACAGCCCAGGTGCAGCTGATGGCCCCGAGCAACCTTCATTGCTCTCCGATTTTCAAACCAGTGTTTGAATAGGAACGTTTGCCAGCGGGGTTAGTGATGCTGCTGTTCCAGTTTCTTTTCTGTCTTTAGAAGGGTTTTGTCCCCTTCTCTTTCATCCTTAAATTCTGCTGGGGAGGTCTGAAAAAGCAGTTTTTAATTGGTTCTGCCTTCAGATATCTAATGAAGTTCAAAGGCACTTTCCACTTTGCTCCTCAAGCGCCTTGGTGTTTCACATCATGCCCAAACCAGAGACGGAAACATAAAACCAAATTAGCTTTTCCAAAGAGCAGCATCTCCATGCAGTGTAGAGGGGCCGTAGCCGATTAGTGAATCCAAGAAATAGTGTACAGCCCCTGGGCACCCTGCCCACCTCCCAGCAGGTCTCCCTTCCTTCCCTCAGGGCCCAGCAGCTGCTGCACCAGATGTGAAAACTTTGGAGCAAGCTGACAGACCGGAACGGGATCCAGTTTGATCAGTTGTCCTTTTACATAACGGCTCTTCATTCTTCTCTGAAAATGGGTGGAGATAGGTAGCTGAAACTGATTTATTACATTAGTGACACAGTCTATCCCTAAAGTGGTCCACGTAGGACTCATTTAAGTGGATTTTGCACAGGAGGGCCCCGGTAACTTGGCCTTTGCTTTCTCTCAATTGGCAGTTACTGAATGCTGTTTCAACAACAACAAAAATTTGGCCGGGAGCGGTGGCTCACACCTGTAATCTATAATCCCAGCACTTTGGGAGGCCGAGGCAGGCAGATCACCTGAGGCCAGGAGTTTGAGACCAGGCTGCCATCATGGCGAAACGCTATCTCTGCTAAAAATACAAAAAATTAGCTGGGCATGTGTATTTTTTTTTCTGTATAGACAGGGTCTTGCTATGTTGTCCAGACTGGTCTTGAACTCTTGGACCTCAAGTATTTAATGCTCCTCCTACCTCAGCCTCCCAACGTGCTGGGATTACAGGCATGAGCCACTGTACTCAGCCGTCGAATGCTTTCTTCAAAAATACTGTCGCGTATCACAGATGAGCATAAGTGACTCGTCAGCAGCTCTGCCATGACTGCTTATCTGGGTGGGGCAGTGGTGGGAACAGAAGTCAGCACTGACAGCAGGGAGGGAGGCGCACTTCTGCTTCTCCGTGCTGCCAGCCTCAGGCACACCAAACCCTGCCTGCTGTCTGGGTTAGTACATCCAACAAGAATCACTTCGTTCAGTGCAGCTTCGGAAATGGTGGGAAAGCTACCTGTTTGCACCTGGTTTGTACTTCGGGTGAGGGCTTCTGCTCAGCTGACTTGAGGTTGCCTCGACTTACCCAACTTTTACCTTCTAGTCAAATTCCCCATGAAATCTAAGTTGTAGGCAGAATACTTCCAGGCCAGACATGGGGCTCCTTTTCCAAATATGGGCATAAAAAAAAAAAAAAAAAAAAACTGCCAGCAGGCTCAGATGCCAGCACGCAGACACCTGAGGGCTTGTATACACCTGCATTTCAATCACATTGCCAAGATGAGGCATGTTTTTCTGGGATCAGTTGTGTGGCCAGGAGTTTCCTCTTTACCATCATTCCAGGTGGCCCGAGACTGCCACGTAAACAGTGGTGCACACCCAACACCGTCATGCCCCCAGCACTCAACTGATAAGTATTTCTCAATCTCTTGGAATTAAAGCTTCTTAAACTTTCTGTGGGCCATGGGTCCCTTTTAAAATCTTTAAATGCTCTGAATGTCCCCTACAAAAAATGGCCCCATCACCCCTCTTGACATCCTCCCATGCACCCCTTCATTACTCTGTGACATCAGGTCTTCCTGATGGAGCCTTTAAAACTGGATGAGAAACCACTTTGGGTGTCTCTTAAAGACTGGCCTGGCCGGGCACGGCAGCTCACGCCTGTAATCCCAGCACTTTGGGAGGCCAAGGTGGGCAGATCACTTGAGGCCAGGAGTTTGAGACCAGCCTGGCCAGCATGGCAAAATCCCGCCTATACTAAAAATACAAAAATTATCCGGGCATGGTGGCACACACCTAGTCCCAGCTACTTGGGGCTGAGGCATGAGAATCACTTGAACTCGGGATGTGGAGGTTGCAGTGAGCCAAGATCATG